TGTGCGTTCCTGAAATGGAGTAGGATTATGACCAAACCCAACGCAACAAACCATAGACTTCCGTGCAGACATACACAGTCGATGGCTAGTTGTTAGAATGTAGCCGGTGCCGCAACAGAGTATACAGCGTTAAGTCGAGACCTTCCACTGTTTGTGCTGCTCCCAATCAAAGCTGCATTTCTCTTCCCTCTCAGTTTGTGTTGCACATGGATGGAAGAGTCAGAAGCTGCAAGGGTGACGAGTGTATCAATTAGATGTATATCATAAGACGAGAAGTTTGCTTGGTTGGAATGGTAAGTTTCGATGCAGCTTTACTGTCGCAGACCGCGGATGGTGTCAGCCCTTGGTCCTGCAATCGATGCACCGAATCTGTGTAACTAGACAGCAGTCAGCCGCATGAATCGCGTGTTTCGGTGCATCAGGTTATAGATCAATGGATAGCTCTATGATGATGATGAAGTTAATGTCGTCATCAAAGCGATGAACTTCCTATTACAGTTCCATAGTGACGACTGTGCGATGTCACCTCGTCAGGGCGCAGTCTCTGATCATGAGTTTCAACTTGACTTTGACAGATAGTCATCTGTATTAACGATTTGACTTCACCCGTCACACTGCGTATCAATGGATAGCTCCAGACGAGTACAGTGCGATGCCTTTGTCAAACCATGATGCAAATAACTTTATTACAAATGTACTTCATATGCAGATAACTTTATATTTTATGACTCCTATGTGATGACTGCGCGAGGCCGTAAAGTTATCGCATTGTCATTCGATCGGGAGTTTGATTTAATGTAATTGTAGATGGTCATCTATATCAATTACCTGATTAAAACAATAACCTCTTACATCTCTCGAAAGCTCTTTCTACGCAATATATGAAAATTTCGTCATCAGCATGAATTTCAAAGTTCGCATCTTGTCTGACCTCTTTACTGTGACTATTACGCAAATTGATTAAATAAGTACGAATGAACGCTAATTGAAACAATCGCAAGTTTTAATCAATAGAATCTTCGGAAGTCTATCTCTGTTTCATTTCTGACAAATTTCATTATTCAAAATATCAGGAGAACAGCGCGCATTCAGCGTAATACGTAATTGATTTCATACAGAATCTGTATGTGGCATTAAGATGACAATTCGTTTATATTATTCTCACATACTATTACTACGTGTCATCCACTGTATTCCGCCAACCTGCGAACTAGAAACGGATGATATTATTATCAGTTTCTTTCATGAAACTCTATGAATAGTTTCTTTTTCTTTTATGAATATCACCTGAGTAAAAGAGTCGAAATTCAATAACGATGAACTAAAACAAACCCAAAATTAAATTACTTTATTAAAGCAACCATTTTATTACATTGAACTATTATATTTCTGCGCCATTTCGGAGTTGAACCCTAACCCACGTTGATAAGCGTAATGTCTGTATTATGGTAGTCATTCACAATAGAATTTACTTTTCATACGCGTCTAGATATTTTTTAACTGGACCAGGAGCTGATGACCGGCAGCAAGATGGTGGTAGTATATTTATAAATATTCCGGACTTTCTGCACTTTGCGGAGCCCATCAATTAACTTCCTTATCTGCGTATGTAACATTTTCAGCTCTGTCAGAACTTGTCTGTGGACTGACTCAGGATGGTTATTCGTACGGTCTTCACTGTTGATCATCCGAGAAACAATCGACCACATTTCCGATAGAAACAACGTTTATCATCTTGTATTTCGTCTTCGATTCAAGCGACCGACTAATTGTCTTCGAACGACTCAAGAAGCGGCCAAGTAACTGCAATGCGCCCAAATGCAGAGTGTAACTGTAATTCAGATGTTGAAACAAACCGTCAAGATTAACACCTGGGAATGTGTTCTTCAGTGCGTGCATCTGTGCAATTTTGAAATCGAATCCGGATGAACGTCTGACAGAGCTGCTTTCATCATTTGAAAGAATCTGTTGTAAGTAACCTTCTACTCCTTTGGCAAAAGCGTATATAGAACAAGTTGGACTCTAGTATGACTTTCCTCCAGCACAGTATAAATTTTCGAAAACAGTGGCGGTGCAGGTAAAAATGTTCCATATGCAAATCACGTTCTTCACTGCCGCA